CATTTTAAGTCTCAGCTTCACTTAGGCTAAGGACCAGGAACAGAAACAGAAAGCATGGAGGTCACAGTTCCTGCATACGCAAGTCCCCTTTTTCTCTCTCAACAGAGACTTAACATTTATTAATGTTAAGACATTTATGAATCCCACTATTGTATGTGGAAATGGGGTCATTCACTGACATATAGCAGAAAGAAGTAGTGAGACAAAAGCTACACGGAATGAGTGACAACAGGAGGGGTTAGAGGGAGGCCCTGAAACAAGCACAAACGGAAGAATGATATACAGGCAGTTAGGGAAAAAGAAGAATTGAGTAACTCTTCAGGTATGCTATATTCTCAGAAAACAGACAGCCTTAGTAGTCAGAACTCATTGTCTTTTTGCCAATTATCTCAGTTCTTTGAAGTAGTTCCTTAAAAAACCAACATGAGCCTCACCTTCATTTTAAATTGGCTATTTTCAAGCTTTTTCTTACAAGGCCAAAAGGAGGATGGGGACAACAAAACAGGAGAAGATTCTGCTGGAAACCAAAGCGAACAGAACAGACCTGGTCTCGCTTCCAATACAGGAGAGCAAAGCACACTTACAGTCCTAAGTCTTGTGAAAATTCCCTGGAGCACAATGGGAAACGAGAATCTTGAGTATCAGTGGGTGGTTAAAAAAAAATCCCATGTTTAAAAAAGTTCAGTTATAAACATCCCTAAAGATAGTCCTCCCTGCTACAATTATAAGCACTTCTTAATTTCAACATCTTCAAAGTCAATTGTATCACCTTGCAAGCTAGCTGCCACAAAGCAGCATAGCTCAGTATCTTCACTCATGCAGGACTATCAACTATTTACCAGACACCTGTGAAAATTATTCATGTGCATGGAAACTGTAGCTTTTAGGATTGAGATACAAGTAGGAACATCTAATTTTCTTGTGGAAGTAGTAAGAACTGCCACTTCCATCATGTTATGCAACAGAAATAGAAGCATGTTTCATTAATATTTAGACTCATTTTGCTTAGTTTTCTCAGTTTTTAAAGTGCTTCCCACCACATAAATTTTAACAAGAATTGGGGGAAAAAAAAAAAACCACCCCAAATTAAAACCAATTTCAGAGCCAGCCTGTGAAATCTTTTCCATATCAAAAACAGATAAAGTGTATTTTCTATACTGATTTAGGCACAACTAAGATACCAAAATAATTATAAAAATCAATTTGAAGGATATGCTTAAATAATCTACTGCTTTTAAAATACACTTGCATTCTTTTTTTTTTTTGCTTATTTTGTGTTAAAGCATTTCAGGACAGCCTAGATTCAGTAACAGTCACTTTGGGGGGG